TTGGCATGATGAGCAGTCGGACTGTAGGTGGGGTGTAAATTGCAGAATGGTTTCAAGGCTGAGCAAGTCGATAGGAAACGACTGGACAAGGCAACTAGCGTGTTATTACTGGATGCAATCTAACGCTATGACTTTTTTCGTATGCAAAGGTGCAGGGTCGGTGATGCGTCTAGCAGCGTGAAGTTGGTCCTAGCTACGGAAATGATCGTTGAGAATGCCGCTCTAGTGGAGCTTGCGCATGGACTTCAAGACATTTTGGGCTCCACGAGCGGTGATCTTGTGATCTTGAAGGAAAGCTAGCAGCTTTCTCTCAGCTTGTGTCCTCAAGGCCAGCACTTCATCGCGATAGGTTGGTGGTTTTCGTTCAGCTTGAAACCTTCGGGGAGGAGAATCTTCCTGAACGTCACGATCATCTTGAAGATAGATCCTGTGTGCTTTGTAGACGTGTCTGTCGAGCGCCACATTCGAGGTTCTTGCGCGAACCAGGAGTATCATAAGTCTTTGAAGCTCGTAGCTGCTGCGGTACGTCTTCGCTTTACTGTATGCGTATTGCCGACCGGTTCTTCACTTGTGTTATCTCCTGATTCTGCTGATTCAGCTCGCTCGCGCTTGTTGTAGATCTTAGACTCCATGATCGACAGTCTGGCGTCAAGCTTTTGGCTGACTTGGATTAGCTGCTCAATCAAAGCCGATTGCTGACGAAATACTGGGTACTTCGTTATATCTTTTGAAGGAATTGGAGGGGTTAACATGTTGGGTTTCTATCCGGGCATGTGTTGCTGGACAGGTGAGACGACCATGCAAGAAGCTCATTCATGGATGCCCCTTTCGCGACTGCACATGCCTCGATACACTGGACCGCTATGGCGTCCGACTTTCACCTTTCAAGGATGGATAGTGGCGCAACACGTATGCCATGAGGGTATCAGCGACTTGTGCGCTTATGTTGTAAGCCTTCACATCTAGTCCAGTCGAGGCACCAAACAGCACTTAGGCGACAGCTCGGATCTTCGCTTGAGTCTCAGATTCGAAGAAGTCCAAGGTTAGTAGTGGTACCGGATTCGCAGGGTCGTGGCCACTCAGTACTCGTGCAACTTTGTGATCTTCGGCTGGAGTGTTGAAGACGTAAGCGAATGCCTTGTTGGTCGACGTCATATTCCACACGCCTCTATCAAAGATCCATTGGACGCACATACCTGACCCGTTCGCGTGCTGCGCTTCTCCACGTCGAAAGGAATGTGAAGTCAGACTATCACTCACACCTGCCTTACCCATGACTCGCTCGAGAGCGCGACTCACGTAGCTGTGGATATCGGGTGAGGCGTCGACCGTTTTCGGCTGTCCACCAGACTTTGGTGCGTCTTAAGGATGGTCGATCAATTTAATCAGAGCTGCAGCTGGCGTCTGAGATGGTAGGGAATGTCCCTGCTGTTCTGGAAGCTGGTTGAGAAGTGCCGCTGTGGTGATGAGTGTGTGATTAGCGCAAGGACAACGGAAAACAACGGACACGTGGTAAAGTCGGAGTCTGGAAAAGGGATTAGTCTTGCTCCTCGGAAGTCTTGACCCGGATGAGCCGAACGAAAAGATATCGCCGAATCCAATCGTCAGATTCCTGTTTGCGGAGAAGCGTCAGGTCCGACGCGCGCCCGAAGAGCTACCAGAGTAAGCATAAGAGCGCCGCATCTTGGTAGTCGCTGGCGCAAGTTGCAGTTGAATACAAGAATTTGGTCATCTGCTTAAGCGCTTTGTTCGTGCATGCTGGGGCCTTGTTAACAAACGTTCCTGTCTCGCTTTATATGCAGTAGCGCTTCAACACTTGGCCTTTCTTGAGCAGATTCTTTTCAACTGCGACACGATGCTGGGGAAACTGGTCGAGAAACCAGTTCTTTGCCTGTCGGTAGTACTGTATCACCGAGTGTCGAGCTAGAAGCTGCCCCTTGCGGCCTTCCTTGAAGGCGAGATACTTGCCAAATTTGTCCGCCACACCTTCTAGAACCAGCGCGACCGTATCACGGCTCATAGACGATTCCAAGTATTCCCCACGTAACATCTTCGTATTTAAAAAACGCTAGAAACGAGCGTGCTGCGCTTTCCCAAGCGCGCTTCGTGCTGGCGGGCGCAAGATCGTTTAAGCTCATACTGAGTCGGAGATGTCGAAGCTTTCACGTTATTCGATAAATATGTGAATGATTTACATGATTTTGTAAAAGGATATCAATAACTGGACGCTCCCTCCGACCCGATATGTCGGAGCCAACTCCAACGAGGCCCAACCTAACCCTTATCGTTTGGATTGGCCAAATTATATTATCAAAACCGTACGATTGGCTGTCTAATAAATAAAAACGGATGATTGGTGATTAATACAAATACTAAAATTAAGTAGGGTCGGATAATTGATGATATTCATCCATACCGGTAGTGAAAAGGAAAGCAAGTGGCTTGAGTCTGCAATTAAAGGCGCAATAATGTCATGTTACGCGAGCTAAACGACCAGCATCAACCGGGCGATCTTTCTTCTCTTCAAATTCACAATTAATACCCTTCATGATACGCTTCCGTCATATCAATCACCGGTGACGGCCTGGGTACCGCCCCCGGCGACTGCCTGGTTACCTTTTCCATTCATGTTACGCGAGCTAAGCGTCCCCGCTATCGGCGTGGCTCCACTGCCCAGTTACCTCGAGAACAAATCGCATCTGCACGAGATCAGCGTCCAGCATCAACTGGGAGCTAACGATCTGACATTTCAAATACACAGGTCTTAGCGTGTAGTTTGCAAGCCAAATTCTACCCCCCCTTCATGTTACGCGAGCTAAGCGTCCGGCTTCTTGTCCAATCCCCGAGATCGCTGATCGACGATTGTACTGATTTAGCGAAACTATTACAGGACTGGTTTTCCCGCACATGTTGAATTACTCTGGTCGGAGAAAGTCGGAGAAATGACTTTATGCATGTGATATGCCTACATATTGAAATTTGTAAGAGCATATCCATATTTCCTGAGTCCTCTCCGACCCGATATGTCGAAGCCAGCTTCAACGAGGCTCCACCTAGCCCTTATCATTTGGATTGGCCAAATTATTTTGTCAAAACCGTACGATTGGCTGTCTAATAAATAAAAACGGATGATTGGTGATTAATACAAATACTAAAATTAAGTAGGGTCGGATAATTGATGATATTCATCCATACCGGTAGTGAAAAGGAAAGCAAGTGGCTTGAGTCTGCAATTAAAGGCGCAATAATGTCATGTTACGCGAGCTAAACGACCAGCATCAACCGGGCGATCTTTCTTCTCTTCAAATTCACAATTAATACCCTTCATGATACGCTTCCGTCATATCAATCACCGGTGACGGCCTGGGTACCGCCCCCGGCGACTGCCTGGTTACCTTTTCCATTCATGTTACGCGAGCTAAGCGTCCCCGCTATCGGCGTGGCTCCACTGCCCAGTTACCTCGAGAACAAATCGCATCTGCACGAGATCAGCGTCCAGCATCAACTGGGAGCTAACGATCTGACATTTCAAATACACAGGTCTTAGCGTGTAGTTTGCAAGCCAAATTCTACCCCCCCCTTCATGTTACGCGAGCTAAGCGTCCGGCTTCTTGTCCAATCCCCGAGATCGCTGATCGACGATTGTACTGATTTAGCGAAACTATTACAGGACTGGTTTTCCCGCACATGTTGAATTACTCTGGTCGGAGAAAGTCGGAGAAATGACTTTATGCATGTGATATGCCTACATATTGAAATTTGTAAGAGCATATCCATATTTCCTGAGTCCTCTCCGACCCGATATGTCGAAGCCAGCTTCAACGAGGCTCCACCTAGCCCTTATCATTTGGATTGGCCAAATTATTTTGTCAAAACCGTACGATTGGTTGTCTAATAAATAAAAACGGATGATTGGTAATTAATACAAATACTAAAATTAAGTAGGGTCGGATAATTGATGATATTCATCCATACCGGTAGTGAAAAGGAAAGCAAGTGGCTTGAGTCTGCAATTAAAGGCGCAATAATGTCATGTTACGCGAGCTAAACGACCAGCATCAACCGGGCGATCTTTCTTCTCTTCAAATTCACAATTAATACCCTTCATGATACGCTTCCGTCATATCAATCACCGGTGACGGCCTGGGTACCGCCCCCGGCGACTGCCTGGTTACCTTTTCCATTCATGTTACGCGAGCTAAGCGTCCCCGCTATCGGCGTGGCTCCACTGCCCAGTTACCTCGAGAACAAATCGCATCTGCACGAGATCAGCGTCCAGCATCAACTGGGAGCTAACGATCTGACATTTCAAATACACAGGTCTTAGCGTGTAGTTTGCAAGCCAAATTCTACCCCCCCCCCCCTTCATGCTACGCGAGCTAAGCGTCCGGCTTCTTGTCCAATCCCCGAGATCGCTGATCGACGATTGTACTGATTTAGCGAAACTATTACAGGACTGGTTTTCCAGCACATGTTGTATTACTCTACCGAATTGAACAGTTACGCAACCGGCCCAATCCTCTAGTAGTCCTAATTCTGAAAATGTGTAGGTACAAGTATCTGGTAGCACTTAGCGATTCTATCTACTGCTAGTTTACAGTATATATGACTTCTTCGGTCCTTTAAAAAATTAACAGAGTAATTTTAAAAAAAAAACCTCGTGTGTTTGATTGTTCCATATCCAGTTTCTAAGGTAAATGATTAGCATCATTAGACGATTTGTACGCCAAGCTGATTGGCTGTTTTCGAAACGATTATGAATCAGATTGCTTTTCGAAGCCTTTTTCCTCCTTCTTCAGGATATTTAAAGTTTGATTTTGATTATATTTGATGATGCTGCGAGCAAAACCCTCAGCCTCCACAAACTGGTCATTTAAATGTTCGATATTGACGCTTTTACGCCTTGCAAGAAAAATTGGGAGTAGTGCGAATAAAGAGCTTTACCATGAAACTCGCTCTGTCTACATTTATTCGACAGACTTAAAGTTATCGCAAGTTAAATGAACGGGTCATTCTCTAGCGGACCGGTAACGTAGGATGCTTTCATAAAAAAAATCCAGAGCTTCCCCGTGTGCAGCACGGCATTGTGTAGCTCAGGACTTCGATCAAGATGTGGACCACAAGATGTGGCTCGGACCCAGCCTTATATACTACGTAGTAATTCGAAGTAAGCACAACTGTGTCATTATCCAATCAGATCATAGACCACAGTAATGGCACTAACTTCGACGCCACGGCTGCTGGTGCTCTACGGCAGCGAGACGGGTACGGCACAGGACGTGGCCGAATTCGTACAACAACGCGCTTTCAACCGACATCTGACCGACACGCAGGTATCGGCTATGGACGAGTTCCCCGTGGCACAGCTGCTGCCGCAGTACTCGATCGTCGTGTTCGTAGCGTCCACGACTGGCAACGGCGAGGCACCCGAAAACATGCGCCGCAGCTGGCGCAGTCTGCTGCGAAAGACGCTGGGGTCGCAGTGGCTTGCGGGTGTGCGTGTGGCTGTATTCGGCCTGGGCGATTCCAGTTACGCCAAGTATAATGCTGTGGCCAGGCGTTTACAGGCTCGTCTACTTCAACTCGGAGCCTTGGAGCTAATCGACCGAGGGCTGGGAGACGACCAGCACGCCTACGGATACTTTGGGGCCTTGAACCCTTGGATGGAGAAGCTCTGGACTGCAGTTCTGCAGCTGCATCCGCTGCCCGAGGGATTCACAGTTGACGACTCCCCGAAACCAATCGAACCCCGCTACTCTGTTACTGTGCATGGAGCTGGCGTTCGAGAGGTTCAGGAGGCAAAACTATTGACACCGAGGACGGGAGAGTCGCGATTTTACGCGCCACCTAGCACGACGGTGGGGCGTGAGAAGGGCATCTACTTGGCTCCTGTCGTGGTGAACAAGCGAATTACCGCCGACGACTGGGGGCAGGATGTAAGACACTTCGAGTTCGATATAAGCGAGGCTTCTTGTGCTGTTGAAGCAACTGAACCTCCGTTCAAAGCTGGCGATATCGCCGTGGTGTACCCTGAGAATGTGACAGGAGTGGACGACATGCTGAAATATGTCAAGTTGGATGGAGATACGGTCATTTCGATCTACGCAGCCGACGGCTCGAAGCAGTTCGATCTGCCTTCTCCGATTTCTATTCGTGACTTGTTCGCGAAGTACGTCGCAATCCTGGAGAATCCGCGCCGAAGCTTTTTCGAAAAACTCTCCCTGTTCGCTGCGAACGAAGAGGAGGTACGGGTTCCAGTACATCGCTTGGTAAGGAATACTGGTTATACTAATTCGAATGTGCGGCGATAGAAGGAGAAACTTGAGGAGCTGGCTTCAGCTGAGGGTGTCGACCTTCTGTACGAATACTGCATCCGCGAGAAAAAGACATATGCAGAAGTGCTCATCGACTTTCCGAGCGTGGACGTACCTTTAACGATCCTGCTGCAGCTGATTCCGCGTCAGCAGCCCCGATCGTACTCCATCTCATCATCGGCCCTGCTGCACCCTGGGCGCGTAAGCTACGCTTTCTCACGTATGGCTGCTTTTTTTTGGTTACTTACTCTCCCGTCGTCGTCGTTATTTGACTTTATAGGTGCATTTGACCGTGGCCATCGTGGACTTTTTAACGCCATACAAGCGCCGTCGTACTGGAATTTGCTCGTCGTTCTTCCAGTCCTTGGACTCACCCAAAGAGCAAAAATGTGTACCAATGTGGATTAAGAAGGGCCTCTTCGAACCACCTAGCTTAGATCGCGACGTGCTACTCATCGGCCCGGGCACCGGACTCGCCAGCATGCGGGCTATAGTGCAAGAGCGTCAGTTCCTGCGCAAACAAGCACGTGAAAACAGTTTAGGGGCGACCTACCTCTACTTCGGATGCCGTCACGAGAGCAAGGTACGAGGCTAGCACAAGTGCTCGATGCATACTAATCATCTTACAATTCATTGCCGTTCAGGACTTTCTGTATGGTGACGAGCTGCGTGGACTCGTAACTACAGGAGATCTCACTGAGCTGCATACGGCGTTCTCACGCGATCAGGTACACTCTTCACCCACCAGCTCTTGGTGCACTATCCTTCTTTACCTAACTTAGTCATATGCTGCAGGAGCACAAAATCTACGTGCAGACGCGTCTGGCAGAGAACAAAGAGGCAATTTTCGACTTCATTATGAACGGCGAGGGATCCATTTACATCGCCGGATCTGCCAAGCGAATGCCTACCGACGTCTACGAAGTGCTGCGCGATATCCTTCGGTCAGTAGGGAACATTCCGTTACTAACGGCCGAGAAGGTGATGAAAACGCTAGCCCGCAAGAAGCGCTACGTCGTCGAATCATGGTCATAGAATCCTTTAAGCATTACCCCCCCCCGGTGTCCTTTTAATGTCAACGTGGTGGTGTTCGCCTTCTCCAATTGAGTCTTTAGATCCAGAACCTGCTCGAGGGTTTTACGCAGATACGAGTCTGCGTTGTTCACACCGTCATCTCCATCCGTGTGGATGTATCCAACCCCATTGCACGCTCTACACGGGATTAAACGGGGGGGGGGGTTAGTAGGTTCCAGTTCACTTCTTGTTACTCTCTCTATATTATAATACTGAACATGTGATACCTCGTGGCGCTGACAAGAAAAATCTATCGCTACGGGACGGAGCGTCTCTGGAGGAATTTGCAGAGGCCAAGTGTTTTTGGTGTACTCCCGCCCCCCCCCTCACGCCCTCTTGTTAGTCCCTCTAGCCCCGCCCAAGTTATCCTTTATTCTACAGGATAACGAAATGACTTGCCTTAACAATTGCAGAGTTTTTGTGAAGATTGTGAGGATCACAATCTTTTTTGGGCAGTACAGTGAGAGGTGATGTTGTATCCTGTAGCTGCAGTTCATGTAATCGTAGAGAAAAAATCTAAACTTACAACTACCTTCATCCACAAGTATACATTCATTTGATTAGATCACTGGCCGCCATCAGTTGGCGACCCTCCATCACTACCCGACCTGGCGCTCGAGCTATCATTAGGGACATTATCGTCTCTGTCGGATGCCTGCGCTCCTTGACCTGCTGGAGCACGCAGCCTGATCGTCTTCAACCCCGGTGGAATGTTAGCGCCGCCTCCCCAAAGCTCGTGCCAAATTTGGCTGCAGGTGGCAGAGTTTGTCGCCGCAGTCGGATCGTGCTGTCGCACTTTTTGACATGAATAGGTATAAATGCTCTCTGCCCTTTCTGAGCCTGCTGCAGTGTCTTCATCGTGTACGTCGGTCGCCTGTCCTTTATGCGTTGTTGGCGAGCCATGATCGCTTTCGCCGCCTGCTCCCGGTACTGGAGCTAATATCGGTTTGACTCGGTAGCAATAGAAAACCACATCTCTTTGGGTAGGAACAAAAAGAATAACGTTTCCAGGCTGCATCCCAGTGCTTGAGAGCTGGGTGGGGGCGGCGATAGCACGCGCTAGATCGGCAGCAGGTAGCTGCAGAGAAGTGCCTACATCAAGCATCGAAAACAAGTAATTAGTGTCTGATACAGGATTCCGTTTCGGTTTACGAAATGACATCCTGTATCATACAGGTTTGTACTTACATTTGTCTTC